CAGGGAGACTCCTTCCTCCCATCCCCATCCTCATCCTCATCCTCATCCTCATCCTCATCCTCACCCTCCCTGCTATCCACCACAGGAAGGGCACAGGCAGCTGCCAGCAATGGGCTTAGCTGCTGGAACATGCAGGATGGGAACAGGAGGGATGGAAACAGGAGGGATGGGAACAGGAGGGACGGGAACACGAGGGATGGGAACAGGAGGGACGGGAACACGAGGGATGCTTTGGCACTGACTCCAGGGTTGGTGGGGTGTTGGTACCCTACAACCAGGGATACAGGGATGCTCCATCCCTGTAAGCTTTGCCACATTCCTGGAGCACCAGTCATGCTCCAAATGCAATTCCCAGATATCTGATGTTTGGGAGCAGTCAGTCCCCTGAGGTTTGTGCTGGAAAAAGGGGCTGGAAAATAGAGGGGGAAACATGAGTGTGTGTGTGTGTGTGTGTGTGTGTGTGTGTGTGCAGGGGGGGCAATCACCCTGTATGGGGGTTTTGGGTGGAAAAGTTTAGGTTGTACCACTCTTCATCTTGATGGAGAGGATGCATGTGCAAGCAAGCTTGGAAAATGGGAGGCTGTGGTCTATCAGCTGGGAAATTCAGGGCAAAAACCATAAAATAAGGTAAACAAGGGAAAAGGTAACAACACGAAAGGGAGGGGGGAAATAGGATGGAAATAAACAACGGATAAAGCGGTGGTGGGAAGAAACGGTTGGTGGGAAAAGCTCAGGGATTTCATGGAGCGATGGGCTCGGGGAGGCCCCACTCGCGGAAGTGGCACCGTGGGGGACGGGACCGGCACCGCAAGCCCCGAACCGGCGGCGAACCCGAACCGGGGGCCCCGGGGCGCCGCGGGGCCGGTCCCGTCCCGGAGCGATCACCCCGGGGAAAGGAAAGCGGGGTCCTACCTGTCGTGCGGTTCCACCGGAGCCCCCTCGGGCACCGGGGCCGCGGCCATGGTGCTGCGGGGAGAGGCGGGAGCGGCGGGAGCGGCGGGGGCGGCGCTGCCGCGGGGATCCCCGGGACTTGTAGTGCGGGATGGGAGGGTGGGGTTTGGGGGGATCCGGGCACCCATGGGGGCTCTGGGGGGCACGGAGGGGTGCTGTGCTCATGGGTGAGAGCTGTGCGGGGAGATGGGTCCGTGTGGGCACGGCTGGGTGCTGTAGGGCACAGGGGTGGGTTGTGGGGTGCGGGTGGGTGTTTGGGGTATAGGTGGGTGTTTTGGGCATGGCTGGGTGCTGTGGGGCTCAGAGTGATGCTGTGGGTACCTGTGGGTGGCTCCGCAGTAGCATCCCTGCCTAAGACGCTGAGGGATGCAGCACAGAGCATCCCCCACCATCCTGCAGCTGGGGGAAGCGCGGTTTGGGTGACCCGGGCTCTGACAATGTCGCTGGGCACTGGGGACAGCTGGGAGGACCCCGGCCCCGTGGGGGTCCCGGGGCGCTGGCTGGGATCTGGTTTTACCCAGCACCATCCCGGGGCTGAGGTTTGTGGTGCCGAATGTTCGGGGCTGGGGGGCGAGCAGCGCTCCCGGGGTCCCCACCCGTCCCTGGGGAGGCAAGAGCGCCCGCGGGGAAAGGCAGCGCTCTCAGCCAGCAGAGAGATCAGTCTAAATCTGTCCCTGCCTTGGGTTCCGTGCCAAAAAAGCCATTAGGGAGCAGAAGAGGATTTATTCCCACGCTGGGAGAGCCGCGGGGTGGCCCCGGGTCCCGCAGAGCTCCCCAGGGTGGAGAAGTCCTGGGCTGGATGTGGCCAGGACACGCTGGATGCCGCTGATGGGATGGGTGGATTGGAAACAGCTTTAGGGGGATTTCTACCATGGGAACTGGGGGGCTGTGGGCATTGGGATGCCCCTGGCACCAGGAGTGCTGGCTGTGCCAAGCACCACCACTCCTCACCTTCCCCATCCTGGTTTTGGGGCACCCCTGGGCTGCTGAGCACACACTCCATCCTCAGCAGCCACTGCCGGGAAGGACAAATCCAAACCCCCTGGATCCCATGTCCAACCCTCCCACCAAAGTGCCCAATAACGGGGCTGACAGTGCTAATAAAAAATCAATAACCATTTATTCGATACAGCTGTTTCATACATACAGTACAGGGAGCGCCTCGGCGCTGCTCGGAGCTGCTCGGACAGTACTCTCCAACTGAGGATTTGTCAATGATTAACAAAAGAACAGATCATCACAAATCGGGAGTTTATTATAAGATAGTTTACCGTTAAAACAATTTTATTTTTTGCAAATAAACACTTTTTAATATATATATTTATATATTTATATATATGGTTACAAGTGATAAATTGAAAATTTTTTTTCCTTTTTTTTTGTTTTTTTTTCTGCTTTAATTTTTTCCCCAAAATACACTTATGCACTAATAACTGGCATCGACGAGAAACATTCGGATATGCCGTGGGATGGGTGTCACGAGGAGAGAAAGAAAAGAACAAAATGCTCTCAAGGTTCCTGGGGGTGGGAGATGCTCCAGGCTTGGGCAGCTCCAGCCACTGGTGTGACACAGCCAACCTCACCAGGGCAGGTGTTGGTGCCAAGGGTTCCCCACTTCCCCACAATCCAAGCTTTCCATGACTTCCCACAGGCTTGCAGCCCATGCCTGCTCCCATGGAGGTTTAACCCTTTCCTTGAGGACATGGGTGATGGGGTGGTGGGTTTCCCCAACAGTGGAGGCGCAGGACCACAGTGTCACAGTGCCCAGGGTGACAAAATCCCCAAATCCCAAGGGTGATGGGACGGAAGGGGACAGGACAACTCGTCCCCCATCTGGTCCCACAGCCTGTCCCTCTGGATCAAGGTGGTTTCCCCTCTGGCACTGCCTCACTGGGAGCACCTGAAGGGGCACAACCTACTGGCCCCAGCAGTGACACTGAGGTGTCACTTGGCCCTGCCTGCTCACCTGTCGTGGCACTGGCAGGTGCTGGGGATCCCAGAATTGCTCTGGAACCTTCTCTGGACAAGCAGGAGAGTAAAGGATGCTTCATGGAGAAGGTGTGTGGGGGGAACATGTTCCTCTTTGAGTGATGACTAGTGGGGAAAACATCTTTTTTGGGGGAGAAAAAGCCCTGAAGATTTCACTTTCTCATAGAAATTCCCTCCTGACCATGGTGCTGCCCTCACTGGGGCTGTGAGTGCTCTGAGGGTGACAGGGACAGCCCCAGCACCAGTGGTCCTGAGACCCCAGGTGGTCCCTGGGGTCCCCTCCAGGCTGGTGTCACTCTGTGAGCCCACTGCAGCTATCCCTGCTCCTGCCAGACACTCATTATGGAAGCAGAGGTGGATTTTGATCTGGACCTCACAATGACCCCCTGAGCTGGCCCTTTCCCATGTCTACCCTGCCCTGAGCAGCTCCCAGGGCTCCCCGCCTGTGGAGCACAGTGCTGCCAGTTAATTTAATCAATGAGAAGCCAATTAATTGCATGTTAATGAGAACAGAGTCCCAGGCCATACCCAAGGGGAGACACTGAGGATTGTGTGGTGACCATCCAAGCCAGCAGCCTGGGCTACCCAGATCTCCCTTCCCTAAGCAGGACATGGAGCTCTCCTGGGGGCTTCCCTCCATGGCAGGACATGATTTTAGGATCCAGAGGCTCCCTCTGCACCCTCACAGAGATTTCAGTGCCAGGCCCAGAGCTCTGCCTGTGCTCCCCTTCCTGCTGCTGCCTGTGAGCTGTTCCAAGCTGTCCTACAGCTCCCAAAGCTCTCCCTGTTCCCCGGGGAGGCAGGATCTACCCCAGTGACACCATCCAAACACGATCTGATGAAGTGCAAGCAGCGACCAGGCAGTGACTAATTAAGCTTTCTCACTAATTGCCTCGAGGCCCCGCACAGCCAGCAATGCTCAGGCAGTTCCCTCAGCCGCAGGCACGTGCCCAGCTCGCTGGGCAATGCAGAGGGTGGATCCAGGTGCCAGAGCCATGGACAGAGCAGGAGCCCTGGACCCCTGAGAAGCCACCCTGGCTTCAGCCACCACTGTCCCCCCTCCCTGGCTGGAATGACCTGCCAGTGGAGGATGTTAATCGTGACTGAGCTGCTGCTCACAGCAGAGAATGATACCGAGCCTCTGGTGGGTGACAAGGAGCAGTGAAGGAAAGCAAGGACTGAGGTTTGAATTGATTAAAGCAAAAGCAGAAGCTCCCCCTCTGATGCCTCTTTCCTGGCTCTGCATAGGGGAAAAATCAATTTAAGGTTTTCTGTTGTGCTACTGAGAGGAAACGTGCCCATTTCCCAAGGACCGAGGTAGCCTGGTTTTGTCTGGAGACGGGCACACCCCGGTCCAGGGATGGCTCCCCCGGGCTGGAGCAAGGTGTGATGACAGTGTCAGCACAGGAGCAAAGAGCTCCAGGGAAGAGCACAAGCAGGGATGGCACCACAGGGACCTGCCACCCTGAGGAGGGTGGTCAGGGGCTCAGGTGCATCTTTGGAAGCAGAGACTCCTCCTGTGGGGGGTCCTAGCCCAAAAGGACAAGGGGAATGTGAGGTGCCTGGGCAGCAACTGGGCTCATCCTTCAGCAGGACCCATGATTGTCTCTCAGTGCTGCCCCCGTCCCTGCGGCCACAGCTGGGGAGCCAAGACTCCATTCCTCCCTCCTGGGTGATCAGCACCGTCGGGATGGAGCACAGTGAGACCCTGAATCACCCTTGGATGCCCCCAGGCCGGGCGGCAGCTCCTTGGCTGCCATCTCCCCCTGACCCTGCACTGCCATCGTGTCTCTGCCATCACAGCACTCCGGGCCCGGCAAACACAGCCCCAGCACCGAGGCACAGCTCCCTCACTGCACCCGCTCCACGGCTGCACTGCCACTCTCCACGGTGCCCACAGCATTCCCACAACGTCCCATTAAACCCTTTATAGCCTGACCAGCCGCAGAGCACCCCCTCTCCTGCTCACACCGCCAGCGCGTCCCGCTCCCTGCCCTGCCCGTGCCTCGCAGACAAACAAACCAACCCTGCCGAGCCCTCAGAGCCGCTCCCTGCCCAGCACCTTCCCCCGGACCCGCGGCTGCCGGGGAAGCGCTGCCGACTCCCCCGCACCGCAGCATCCCCCGCCCAGCCGGCCCAAACATCTTTGGAAACATCACCCGGAGCTGGGGGGCCGCTGGGCAGCTCCCCCCGGAGCGGCACGGAGCCGCTGGGGAGGGTCCCTGCCCGCGGGACCCCGCTGCTATTGCACTTCTCTTTCGCTCAAGCGGCACCAGGTTGGCGCAGGGGAGGGGAACCACGGGCCGGGGGAGGCAGCGGGGCCCCACCGAGGGCTATGTACACGGGCAGGGGGTGGAGAACGTCCCAGCTTCCTTGATCCTGTTTGTTTTCCAGTGTGAAACAAGGTCCGTGATTTGTTTAAAGTGGTTAACTGGTATTTTCTGTCTCTTTTTTTTTCTTCTTTTTTTTTTTCTTTCTTTTTGTAAAAAGAGGGTGAGAGGAGGGTGGGGCAAGAGGAGGTGGGATGGGAAGGAGGGGACATAAAACTGGGAGGGACCCCCACCCTGTTACCCTGGGCTGTAAACGAATCCTCGGAGACGAGTCTCTGAGCTGCTCATTTCTCGGGCATCTTGCTGGCTCCTCCCTTCCGCTGGCTCGGGGGCTTCAGGGCGAGCTCGTCCCCCTCGGGGCTGCCCCGGGAGCCTTCCCAGTGCTCGAGGGTTTTCTTGTGATTAGTCTTTGCTGCCACGCTCTCTCTGCCCTTCGGGGACATTTCTGGAGGCCTCTCCTTGGGTTTTCTCCCCCTTTTCTTCCCATTTGTGCTTTTCTTTTTCTCCTCTTTGCTGGAAGAAAGCTGTTCCCTGTTTTTCTTTTTCCGGCTGGCCTCTGAGGAGGTTCGGAACCAGTTCTGTGTCCGTGGGGTGACACGGGGGTTAGTGACAGTCCTGGGAGCAGGCACTGGCACCAGCACACACCCCCCGAGCCTGGCCCACCCCTCACCCCACTGGCATCACCTCTCTGAGGTCAAACTGCTCAGGCTGAGCTGCTGCAATGAGCCTGGGGGTGTCAGGGACACCAAGGGGGACAGGGAAGAACCCCCCAGGCTGGGTGGGAGCTGTTACTCAGCTCTGCTCTTAACAGACGTGGATGGATGGATGGATGGATGGATGGATGGATGGATGGATGGATGGATGGATGGATGGATGGATGGATATAAAGGGATAACCTAAGGATGTGTGTGTCACAGCAGGGACCAGCCCAGGCCAGCTCCAGCTGTTTCCTTACCTCTGAGTGAGCCTTGATGATGTGGTACTTGACGCCACTCTCGGAGCTGAACTCCTTCTGGCACAGGAGGCAGCGGTACTTGCCCACTGAGTGCTCCCCCTGCAAGACACCACAGCGGCTCCTGCAGAGCCCAAAGCGCCCCAAGGGGTGGCCCTCCCTTGGCCCTGACCCTCCCATAACCTCAAAGTGACACAAAATAAACAGACACAGGTGGTTCTGCCAGCCTCGGTGCTGGGCCAGGAGCTCACAGCCACATCCTCTTTCTGAGTTTCAGTCCATGCCACTCGTGCTGCTGCCTGTGTGTCCCCAACATCAGGTGATGGGGCCATTGCCCCCTGTCCTCGCTATCAGCAGATCTGTGATCCCCTGGGACTCAGCCACCATCAGATTTATGTCCAACATTCACCTCATTTTCCTGTTACATTGTCAAAGAGCCAGGGTGAGTGCTGGATTCCTGTCACCAGCGCCCTGGTGGGATGACAGATCTCCTGGCTCTGCTGCAGGTCATGGCACGTGGGAGATAATGGGCTCTCTATTGACGAGGGGGTTATGGATGGGCCCCTCTGGGCCATATATTTCCTCCCTGGGAATTTCTCCATAGCTGTAAATCTTGAGTCAGACAGGTCTCTCATTTTGGGAGAGGAGAGGCCTGGCTTCAGGAATCCTTGTGCAAAATCATGCTGGTGCATCAATCCCCACTGAGGATGGGGTGCTGCCTGGGAGCAGCCTCTGCTCCTGCTAAGGCTCTGAGTATTGCAACCAGTTCTACAGGATTTTACAGTGGGAATCACAGACCAGTCCTGGAGGGGCTGTGATGTATTTATGCCAAATTTGTTGGCCCATGTATTCAAAGTAAATCCTCTCCCCTAAGGGGAAGAATCCTGCTGATGGCAGTGTGGGGATCACAGAGCAACTCCCCATTGCTGACACTCAGTACCTGGCCCCAGCTGGGCCAGATCCAGAGGATGCAGTTCTGTGGTTCATGGAAATGTTCATGCAGATCCTGGCTGCTTCCCGTGCATGGAACCAACCAGAAACCAGCTCCATTTTCTCTCAGAGAAGGAGCTGTCCTAGTCTTCTGTGTTTGCTCTTTTATCCTGCATAAATCCAGCTTCTCCTGCTGGATCTCTGCAGCCCATTTTCTAAATGATCTCATCAAGGGCTGCTGTTCCAGCTAGCGCTGGAGGAGTGCAGGAGTTGGTGTTTTTAATAACCACGGGGTATGTATTGGAGCTGCCTCCTGGAAGCTCCATTCAATGGAAGCTGCAGCTGGAAATGTTTCAGGGTATAAAGCTTTAGCAGCTCTTACTTGGTTCCAATTTGAGGGACCTACACAGAGCTCCTGATCCCTCCCCTGGGGCAGCTGCAGGGCACTGGAGCTCAGGGCTGCTCCATCCATCCAGTGGGAGGGCACTGGTCTCTGCACAGGCCAGCTGCTTCTTCCAGACTCAGCTTATCCCAGGAGCAGCATCCCTCCAGCTGGGCTTCCAGAGGGGCTGTAGGGCTGCCCAAACTGATGGAAGAAGACTCCTGATTCCCACCTGCCTCAGGAAACATTCAGTTTCGAGTACCCAGCCCCTTGGCTCTGAGCTGCTGTGGCTGATGTGTGGTTGTGTGATATGCTGGCCATGCTTAGCCAAGGGCGTGTGAGTGATCTGGGGGCTGCAGGGAGCAGCTGGGCAGGGGCTGCTGTGGGACAGGAGGACATGAGGCAGGAGCACTGCTGTGGGTCCAAGTGTGTCTGGAGCTCCCCGTGACACTTTGTGTGTCAGAGGTCTGGGCTTGGGTGAGAAGCCTGTATTGTGGGACCTACTCTGTATAACTGGAATAGCAGCTACATCCCCTCCATCCCATCTACTCAGCTCGAGCCTCTCTGCCTCCATTTGCCTGGTGAAAACTCACTTGGAGCAGCACTGCTAGCCAGACTCCAGCAGCCACCATCCTTTAACCTGTGCCATTGTCCCTTGCCTTGTTCCTTCCAAACCAGCTTGGGGGGGAAGAGAAAACCCAACACCAAAGCCACCTCTGAGAAAAGGGTGTAAAAGGCAGGACCTACCTTGTTGCAGTTGGCCAGGTGAGCTTTCAGCCCCGAGACACTGGAGTAAATGGCTTCACAGCACTGCAGGACAAAACAAAGCAGGGTTAGCCATGATCCCCCTCATCCCCTGCCCTGCTCTGAGCTGTGGCCAGGAGCCTGCTGAGCCAGCACGGCCACCGGCCCAGGCTGAGCAGTGTGAGGTTAATGCTCTGCGAGGCGCCTGGGGCTCTGGTCACACGTTTCCCATTAGTGCTAATGGGAGTCATGTGGCCACATCCCTCTGCAACGGGCTGAGAAACGTCTCCCCTGAATGTCTCCGTGGAAAACCTACATTTGTGAGCTGTCGGGAGGTCCTGCTGGGCTACAGGAGCTCTTGGAGCCACAGCAGAGGCTTAACAGAGAGGAGAAATCACCCAGGCAGCAGCATGACCAGTTTCTGAGCAACGTCTTTTCCAAGTGCCTGTGTATGACATTAATTAGCCAGCCCGGCTCCCCTGGCCTTATGGGAACTGCCTCCTTCAGAACTCCCATTAGCAAGGCTTTGTTTGGGACGATAAATCCAGGCTCAGCACCAGGGTGGGGTTCACCTCTCTGTCAGCTCGGGCCAAGGCTGTGTTTCACAGGGAGATGAGGCACATGCACCATGCCCTGAGGTCTGTGCTTGTCACAGGGCTTTAAAAAGCTTGGCTTAATTCTATCTTCGCTTAACTCTGGGAAAAGCAGGTTCTCTGCATCAAAAGGCTGTCTGTGCAGGATATGCAGCCTTCACCCTGTCAGGATCTTCCCAAAGGCAGCTCCAGAGCTCAAACTGGGCAATGCTGCACCGTCAGCCCAAGGGTGGCCCTGTCCCCAAGCCTGGTGGCTTAAGCACACAAGGAATGATCACAAAGGTGGGACATGCTTTAACCACACACAGCAGCAAGCTGAGGGAAAGGAGGTGAAATGAGTGTCTGAGCATCACTGTGATCAGGGGCCCAATAAGAACCATTTTGGTGGGTTTCTGCCCCAAAAACTCCCCCTTCTTCCTGCAGATGGAGACCAGCCAGCCCACAGAAGAACAGACAATCCTTACGTTGTTAGGACAGTTGATGCGGCCCTTCTCCTTCACTTCATTCTTCCAGTTTTCCAGCAATCTGGGATTGAGTTTTGGAAGCCCTGGCCGGGTGTAATTGAGCTGTGAACAATAGCAGTTGATTAGCAGAGCTGCACACCCCAGCCCGGTCCATGGTCCTGCCTCTTCACATGGGTCTTGCCCTGCTCTGAAGGGAATAGGAGCTGAAAACTACTTGGGAGGCTTCCTGAGATGCCATTCTCCCCCTGGGCACCGCAGAGCAGGGAGGTGGCTCTGCCCAGTGCCCTGCCACCAGCGAGGAGTCCCTGGCAAACAGGAGAGGAGGCTCCTGCTCCCGGGTCCGTGCCCACAGGGCCAGGACTGGACCCGGCCTTTTTGGTGCCCAGCCCTTCTGCCATGTTTTATAACCAGGGGAATAAACAACCCTGCACACTGGGCAGAGGGGCCAGGGGCCTCCATGGCTGCCTTCCATGGATGAATGGGCACAGCCCGTTAAACAATGAAAGGCTCTTGTGTCTCTGCCTCTCCTTCTGGCAGGGCTGCTCCTTCCAAGTGCTTTTAATTAGCGCTTTATTAGCGACTTTGAGGGTTAGCATAGCAGCCTGGCCTTCCCAACTCCAGTTCTGCCTGTTCAGCACAAGCCAAGGCAGCTGTGGCAGCTCCAGGCATCTCCGGGCCTCCCAGCCACTGTGCCTGGCCCTACCTGCAGGGCTGCTCCCAGCCTGACACTGAGCCACTGTGCCAAGGTCTGCAGGGGACACCGGGCTGCACAACCACACCAGCACGGCTGCCAGCCCAGCCTGGTGAGCTCTGCTAAAGCCAGTGGATGTTGTTTCATTCTGAGCCCCAAACCTTCTGAGTGGGAGCAATGCATGGTGCAGGTGTGGGTACCTGAGCACCTGCCACTCTCCATGGGCACCTCTGAACACGGGACCCAACTGCATCCCTGCATCCCTGCTGGATGGAGAGGATGCATGGCCAAAAGGTGCTTGCAGAGGTGCAAACCCAGGCCAAACATTCCCCAAGGTCCCAAAGCTGGTGGTTTGGAGGCAAAAGGAGGCTGGCTGGATTTCTTTTCCGGCTGTGACTTTTCCTGAACATGCTGATAAAGCTGCAAATCTGCATTTGGCCAGCTCGCCCCAGCTGTTCCCAAACCTCCCTGCAAAGGGAAGCTCGGGATGCTGAAGGCTCAGATGCCAGCCCCTCCTTTCCACTCAAATTGAAGTGATCCATGTGCCCCTGCAGCTCTCCCCTTGGCACGTGGCAGGGCACGGCTGGGTCAGGGAGCACTGGGCTCCATGTGAGAGGCAGGGGCACAGGGCCTTGCGAAACAGCGCTGTGAACACTGCTAAGGACGGATGTGGATGTGGAAAACTCCCCCGAGCCCCAGTGCTGCAATTCTGTCGTGCTTCGTGGCTGGGGGAGATGCCAGCAGAGCTCTTTGAAGCTCTGGGATGGTGCATCTACCAAGAGCTTGGTCCCCAGCCCAGGGAAGGCAATGCCACCTCCAGGGTAGAACACAGGAGTCCCTTTTTGCCATTGATACTGAGAGCCAGGATGCCAAACAGCCTCCATAATTAAAACCCAATCAATCCCATGAATGAGCAAACATTAACGGTAACCGCACACAGCCCCAGCAACAACCTCTCCCTCTGCCTGTCCCCAGGGAGGAGGCGAGGGGGGATGTTCAGAGATGTGGACTCTGCTGCTCTGCTTTCCCACTCCAGAGAAAAATCCCTCCCTGCTCTCCTCCAACAGTCCTGCACAATAACATGCAAATCCCATGTCTTCCCAGGGCGCTGCGGTTCTGGGAATGTCAAAGTCATCTTTATGTCTCTATTAAGAGGGAGCCCCAGGCATGGAATATTTTATATTTTTTTTCTTTTCCATTTATTTTCCTCAAACAGCTTGTAAGTGAAAATTTTCATGGCCAAATCATTAAACGACTACAACTGGTTTTGGCTACAGCCCATCTCTTGTGAACAGTCGAAGGATGCTGGGCTGGGAAGGTTTGTTTCCTTTGACTGACGGTTTTATTTAATTAACTTTCATATTTCAATCCTCTCTGCTCCCTAGACAGCTCTCCCCTTCCCCAAAATATATCACAGTAAATGAGAACCATGCAGGACGTCTCAGCTGACGAGCACCCCTGAAGCCTCACCAGGTCCCCAGCACAAGGTACAGTTCTCCCTTCATCCTGCGGAAGCTGTGGGTGATGCTGCGAATGCAAAATGCACCCAGGGGTGCTGGGCAGCAGCCAGGTCCCACTGGAGGGTCTGCAGAGCAAGGGGAGGAAGGATGGACTCGGCCCCACAGCTGGAGCTGGGATCCGGTTTGGCCCCCAGTGCCACGAATCTGCAGGGCTCAGCCTGGCTCCTGCCTGCATTGCAGGGCCATTGTTTTGGGGGACAAACCCAAGCCAGCCTCTTCTGCTCTGGAATTTATCCTAGTTCCAGTATAAAACCTCAAGCTGGAGATGACTTTTCCCCTTTAGCTTTATGACTGGCCTATGGCTGTCCCTTGCTCCAGATCCCTGACACCCCATGGCACCAAACTCCACAAGGATGTGCAGATTCCATGGCTGCCCCTACTGACACTGAGACCCCGAGCTATGGGGAGGCAAGTGGAGTATCCATGTATCCCACAGTGGAGCTCTGCATCCTCCCTGTGTGGTACAGCTCCTGCCTGGGCTGCAGGAGCCCAGCACAACCTCCAGCACCTTGAAGCAAGGAACCCCACCTCAAGCTCTACCAAGGAAGTGTCACACTCCTAAACAATGGACTACCCACAGCATTTTCTCCCCTTCTGCCTCTTAGATTCCTCTTCCCTATGCTCAAGGAGGTTGTTTCTCATTCCCCACTGCACCCCAGAGCCCACTGCCATGAGCTGGGAACCTGCAGCCTCAAGGCTGCTCATGGAAGGCGACAGCCCCAGCAAAGGCCAGAGGAGGGTCGGCATCATCTTCATGGAGCTTCTGCAGAGGGGATTTTTCCCAGAAAAGCAGCAGGGGTGTGCCCTTCCCCATCTGACATCCCCAGCAAGCGGCTGTTGTGAAACACCCCATCTGTTTCAGCTTATCTGGAGGCAAATAAAGATCGGAGCGAGAAAATAAGACTCCAGTGTATATTTAGAAATGCTGGATTTGGTTAGCAGAGACCGAAGGCAGCGCAGGGCCTGGGATGGAGCAGCAATCGTTTATTCTGCTGCCATTGCTTTGGTGTGAAGGAATCCATCCTCCCGGGGAAAGGCGAACACATCCCACCACAGGCCACCAACGGCATCCAAAGCCAGCATCCCTCTGTCCCTGTCCCCGGCTGGGACCGGCTGCCACGTGGCCACAGAGCAGGGGCTGCAGTGGGGCTGAGAACCCCTGTGTCCCATGGGCTTGTGCCTTCCCCTGGGAAAAGGTTTTTCTGCCTGGAAAAGGGATGGAGAGGGGTGGCTTTCTTCATCAGCTTCCTTGAAATCAACACTGACTGCTGGGACCATGGTGGGGAACTGGAGAGTTCAGGGATGGAGCTTCCCCTGTGTTGCAGCAAGTCTGGGTGTATCCATCCACCTCTGGCTACAGACCTGAGCTGGGAAGCATCTGTCCCTCTGGTATCCTGGAAATCCCTACAGCTTGCTGAAAAGTGAAGGAGCAGCTGCAATCTGCTGCTGATCCCTGACATCCCACTTCTCTCCACGTCCAGTACAGGGTCTGCAGGCCCAGCAGTGTACTCCCAGTGGCTGGGCATGACTCAGGGAAGGAGAGGTGGTGGTGGTGTGGTGGCTTTTCTGGGAATTCCATCCATTCCCCACCAGTCCCAGTGCCCTGGTCAAGGTGAACTGGTGTTTATCTTCCTGCTGCTCCAGTGGCTCTGGGCTGTCAGTTCCCTCAGGGAGGGCCACCACACACACTTGGTGGGCTGGTGGCACAGGGACACGGGGATGCTGCTGGCTGCTCTGAGCCTCCCATGTGGCATAAGGCTGCCCCACAGACAGTTCTGTTTTGGGGCCATAATGAGGTCCAATTGGGCACTTGCTGGGAGGTTTCTTTCTACACCCTGAACTGAACCAACTTGTAAAGGCAAAGCAGTCCTGAGCAATGCAAACTGTGGCTGAGCAGAGCAGCTCAGAGCGTGCTGAAGTCAGCAAGCTCCCACCAGCCTGCATGGGCAGAACCTGCCTCCCACCTCCTCCCAGCATCGCTCATCAAGAAAAAATGTCATAGACTGAACAGATTATAAAGTGTTGTCAAGGGAACGTGACAGTCACTGCAAGACGTACCCAGAGGCACACGCACGGCTATGTACGGATTCACCCACTACACTGACTTCCTCCAAAATCCATGTGGGATTTCATGCAGGGCCTGAGGTCTCTTGATCCTCCAACTCAAGAGCCTTGTTTTGCCATCTGGGAGCTGATCCAATTCCCCCCTTTCCCATCTTTAATGCAAAACTGCTTCTGCCAACCTCACCGCAATTCTTTGCTTTTTAGCACTGAGATGGGGTTCAGTTAAACTTAAACAATCAGGCTCTGAACACAAGAAATGTCTCATTAAAAAAGCCCACCAGCACTTCATGGAGCAATTACACCAGTGCTGGGACCTTTACGATGCCTTTGTCAGCCTGAGCATGTGCCCCTGCTCCAGGCCTGGGGTCCTGGCTGCTCCCTCAATTCAAAAAGAAAATACCCAAAGTCATGAGTAAAGGGAACAATTCCAAGTAGAAAGAGAAGAATGCAAGAGCTGAGATAGGAGAGGGAAAAAGAGAGCAGCACACCTCTTCTCTCACAGTATCTGAAATGAAACAGCTACTTTGGGCTGGGTTTTTTAAAGTTATTAATGCATTGCAGCTGAAGTCATCTGGAAACCAACAATGGTAACACCAAGCACTGGGGAAATAAAACGTTTGCAAGCAGGTCTGGCCCTGAAATACCCAGCTCTGCCCCAAGGTGGATAGCAGTGCTGCAGCTGGATCCCCTTCTGTGCCAGTGCCTCACTAGGATGCCAAAGGGGGTAAAGAAACTGCTGGTTTGTTTCTGTGCTGGTTTTCCAGCTGTCCACCACATGCAGACCAGAGGTGAGCCAGCCTTGGCTTCTCTGGGTCTCTGCATGGTGGCACTTCTGCTGAGCACACACAGGTGCCAGGACAGCATGGGACAGCCTGTGGGAGCAGGAAGGCATTTTGGTGCAAGCTCTGCTCTCCTGCCACCCCTTTTCCTGGGGTGACCACCATCACTTGTCCAAGCTGGCTCTGAGACTTGGGCTGGTCTCATGGCTTGGGGTAGGTCCTCTGGGCTGGGACTGTTCACATTCTCTTGATGAACTCTGATCCTCACTTTCATCTTTGCAATGTGCCCAATATCTTGCCAGAGTGAATTTCAGAGCACTGGACAAGAGATGCCCAACTCTTCAGAGCAGGGAACAGGCCTGGCACCTACCTGCAGAGTCACCTGCTCAGGAAACAGGCTGCACCTCATGCAGAGACTCTGCATTGAGTCCTGGCAAACAAAAAGAACTCCTATTCCCTCTCTTTTTTTTCCCTTTACGCTGAAATGGTTTATGATTTACTGCTGCTTCATTCCTTTTACAGTCCAGACGGAGCATACCTGAGGGAATTTTAGCTTTAGTACATCCCCAGGAATAATCAAGCCCTCCCACAGGCAGAAGGGAGGTTTGGTTTAATGTGTACTCACTCCAATGCCTACATAAAGCTCAAGCCTTTGGGGCCCTGTGCAAACCCCACAGCACTGCTGCTGGAGCTCGGGGGGCTCAGTTCTGTCTCCACTCACTGCCTTCCTCTGCTCCCAGCACCGCTGCTCTGGGATGCTGCAGGCCTCTACCTCCAGGAAAGCATCTCCCAGAAGTTAAGGAAGAGACTTGGAAGGGAGGGAATTCTGCCTGGGGCATCTTTGCTCTCTGACAGCGCAAGGGAGATGGTTTCAGATCTGATCTGCTCTCTTCACGTGCTCCTCTTGGCTGCCAGCCTCTACTTCCCTGCTCAGCATGGACCAGAAATGACCTCCCACCCCAACACTCTCGGGGCCAGACCTTGATCTCTTCCCAGTGCACCTCTTTCTCCAAAGGGCACAGCTGCCTGCTGCTGGGAGCCTCCAGACCACAGCGGCTCAGCCTGTGCTGGGTGGGCTCTTCAGCAATAAATCTGCCATCACAGCTAATTAATTTAAGGCACAGTAAGTGAGACATGTGAGCCCTCAACCAGCTGGGGCCAGGCTGGAATCCTGGAATCTCCGTGTGCAGCTGGAGCCAGGCTAGAATCCTGGGATTTCTGTGCAAAACCAAAAGGAGAACTAAAGGCTGCTCACCCGCTTTGTTTCAGGCACCAGGTCATCCTTCATCCTCCTTTTGGTCCAATCCCTGGCCAGCTCATCCTCTGCTATCTCCTGGAGGTGGAAGACGGCGACTTGGGCTGACGTCCGGCGGATGCGGCCGCTCGGGGTCCTCTCAAAATCTTCTACAGGAGCAGGCTCTGGCTTCACCTCTGGCTCCTCTGGAGGCTGCAAGAGAGACAGAGTCAGGGAGGGCATGACAAGAGAACAAGTGAGCTCTCTGGCCCCGGGATGGGGATGCTGGGATTTGGGCTGTGTGTTTCCAGGCTTGCTTTGTGCCTCTGCCCTGGAGCATGGGAGCAAGGGGAGCACCCGCCTCCCTCAGCCCAGCAGCAGCCATAGGCTGTGTCCCTCTGTGCTCCCACATGTATAAATGTCTCCAGTTATTAGATTTAGGGAGTGATTAGTGTCAGATGCACTGTCAGTAGGGATCAAGAGAACAGAAAGGGATGCTCCCCAGGGATAGATCCTGCCACCCCAGCACTGGCAAGCAGCCGGCGCTTGTGAAGGAGCGGCCTGAGGTCTGGTTTTTTTTTCCTGCACGGCATAGATGCAGGGTGGGCTGGAGCAAAGCCCTGTGGGCACTGGGGAAAGGGAATGCTGCTGACCACTCCCATAAAACAGCATTTTTGGAGGGGTGGAGGAGGGTGCACCCTGTTCCCCCCAGCACTGCATGGTACAACACACGTGCATGGTGATTTGAGGGAGAAAACAACACCGGCCCGACGTCTGCACCTGCCTTGCCCGGCCCGGCCCTGCCCGGCTCTGTCCTGCCCACGGGCTCCGCAGCTCTGCAGTCCCCCCCGGGGGGGGATGGCCGCGCTCCTCGGGCTGCAGGGGCCTCCGGGGGGCTCACCGAGGCCGTGTGTTCTGACCGCACGTGATAGTCGTGGCCAGCCTTGGATTTGTACTTCTTGCCACAGTGTGGGCAGCTGAACACGGGCTTGTCGGCCTCGGCAAGCTGCTTGCCACACCGCTTCTGGTGGTACTGGTAGCCCATCAGGCTGGAGAAGTTGGCCACGCAGCCCTATGGAGATGGGGAGAAGGGAGGGTTAAGGAGGGCTGGGGTTTCACGTGGCCACGTGTAAAAGGTTGGGGTGCCGTTTCTCCAGGGAGGAACATTCCCGAGGAGCCCGCTTTGAAGAGCAGCATTCCTGAGGAGCCCACTCTGAAGAGCAGCTCTGCCAACCCATTCTGTACAAGTGTTGGGGAATTTGACGGTTCCCAAAGAGCCAGGCACAAGCGCAACAGACAATGCCCTGGAGGGATGGGAGGAGCTGTCCCCGCCCCGGCACTCCCTGCCCAAACACACGGACAGAGCTCTCTGGACAGACACACAGCAGGCAGCGGGAGGGGAAGGCACTGGGGAGGCGCTGCCTGCACAGACAGCAAAGCACCCGCGGGACAAACCTCTGCCACACGCCTCCCTTACCTGTTCGTGACTTGTCTGCAACCCGCTGGCTCTGGTTTTGGTGTGGTTTGGTTTGGTTTTATGCTGTGCCCAGGACAGGCTGTGCTCCTTCCTGAGCTCAGGAGGCAGAACCTGCCCTCCAGCGCTCCTCAGTCTGCCCTGTGCCCACCCTCCTGCAGGGCTGTCCTGTTGCTGGAGTGCACAGAGCCACTGGGACAGGGATTGGGATGGCTGAGCTAATGTGGAAACGTTGAGCACATGCCAAGGGATGCCTGGAGAGTACATGTCCCCTTCTGCATGGGACTCTCTCCTTCCACTTTTTCACAGAACGAGAAACAAGAATTGTTCTCGTACCTCATTGGGGCATTTCAGTTTTCCCATCTGCTTTAGCACTTTCCTCAGCCTTTCCCGCTCTTCCTGTTCACCAAGTCCAGCGGTTTCCACAGGAACAGGCTGGAAACAAGGAAGTAACAGAAGCGACAGAGTCAACCATTTACTCATGTCCTCTGTGCCAGGAGTGGATGGTAAAGCCCTGCCTTGCAGGGAGCTGCCCTGGGCTGGAGGGAACCTCTCATTAGGAGAGCTGGATCTCCCACTGCTGCCTTGGTATGTGCTGGATCTGCTCAGGCCTTTCTTGTGATTGCACCCAAAGGGCCGGCTGAGAAACCCAGGAGCAGTTCCTGCACAGAGGATTCACCAGCAAGACTGAAGAGCAGGAGATTAAGGCACAGGTAAAAGACAAGTCACAACTGGTAAGCATGGGACATGTAGAAATGTAGTTATGCCTTGCCCTGGTATCTCTCAGAGATGTACAAAATTTATTCATGATAAATTTTGTGGCTGCTTCTCCCATGCGCATTGAAGAGCTAAAGATCAGATTTTGAGATTCGTGCAAGGCAGAACCCATCAGTCCCAGATTTGCAGGCACAGTTTTGGAGGCAGAGCTTTGCCACTCAAAATCCACCTCACCATACTCACCAGATCTTCCCCATGTTGGGGTCTGAAACCCTGATTTATTTTTTCAGCCCTCTGCTCTACTTATCAGGATCAACAGGAGCCTAACTCACTACCTAAGGAGGAAATGCTTTCCTTGGTATGAAGGGGAAGGCCACCTTCCCAGGCTGAGCAGTGTGTGAAATGCTCCAAAGGTGGATCCCTCCTTTACAAAGATCTTGGAGACAGGAGTTCTGATGGATGGCTTCCTCACCTGCATGGAGAAAGGAGGCACAAGACGAGCACAGCCCAGCTCCCTTACCTTGCTGACGTGTTCAGCCATGGTGTGGTAATTCAGCCCAGCTTTGGACTTGAACTGCTTTTTGCAGTGCTGACACTTCAAGGCATCCTGCAGCTGAAGGAATTAAAGGCAAGTCACCAGATAGGCCACATCCTTCCAAGGGCTGCTGCTGCTGCTGGTCAATAACCCCATGGGTGGCTGTTGCTGCAGCAGTAGCCAATGGTGGGACCCAGCAGGCAACACAGCACCTCTGTTTCCCATCCCAGGCCCTGCCTGCAGCTCAGAGCTTTCTCTCTGTTGTCCTGGATACTGTTATCAAACCCACATGCCCCAATTTTTGGAAAACATTCCATTTGGGGTTTAGATTTAAAGCCTCAGTGGCTGAAAACATCTGGATCTGGCGTCTTACTCTTCGTGTTAAAGGGTTAGAGAGAGAAGAAGCTTTGATCTACCAATGTCAGTGGACTGTACTTTGCAGTCCTGTTAAGTAAGACAGATGCTGGCATACAGTGCAATTTCTGGGTGCCTGGGCTGTGTGAAATTAAGGGCACAATCAGAGGAGGATATTTTCTACCTCTCATTGCCCTGCTGTTTGACCCAACTCGGCCTCCTGAGTGTGTGGGGAGATGCATTAACTGCACACCCCGAGGTACAAGGGGCATTTGCACAGTGGGTGAACAGATCTTGACTTTTGCTGGGGCAGGGACCAGAGATTACTGATTTGGGAGGTTCATGCTCTGGGCACCAAGAGACAGAGTATCTCGACAGGGAGCCAGTGCCTGGCCAGCCGTGGTCATTCCTGCTTCTCCTGCCAGATGATTGAAGGGAGGGTGGTGAAGGTGAAGCAAGACTGAACTAAAAGCTGAAGAGGCAATGAAGATGGATCTGCAAATCTCTCCTCATTATGGAACTCTGGGAAAATGAAGAATAGACTCACTGCAGTCAATTGGGAGTGACTCATGGTACCTGCACTCCCATCAGTTAATCTTGTCCCAGACCCAAGCACTTCATCCTAACAAGGTGGATACTAACAGCTCCTTGACTCATTAGATGCCACTAGCAGCAAACTTGGGATTTACTCCTCAGGTCAACACTTAAAAACATACCATGTCCACATTCCAACAAGCCCTCCCATCTGGGATACCAGGATGATATAACTGTCCCTGCCTCCTTCAGGCCCAAGCATGTTGCAACCCTCTCCATCCCTTATTTCCTTTCCAAAACCAAAGGAAACAAGTCACTAAGCAGACTGCTTAGTGCAGACTGCTCTTTTTTTTTTTTTAATAAGAGTTTTGGGAGCCTGCACATCCTCTTCCCATTGTCCAGCTAAGGAATAAATCAGTCATTAAAAAGAGGGGGTGCCTCAAGCCCAGGCTGGCTCTGATAGGGATCCCACGTGGCTGTAGCAGCAGGGTCTCACTAAGGCTGTGCCACAGGTTCATCTCAGAGATGGAATGCTGAGAGCTGAACCTCTGGTCACACACCTGGAGCTCAGGGACTGTCCTGTCTGTGTTTCCATGAAGCATCCCAGCTCCCAGAGCAGCACAGCCAGCTCTGGCAAGGACTCTCCCTCTCAGGAACTGTGACAGAACACCCACTCCAAGGGCTGGAGCCCGAAATCTTCAGCTGAATCTAGGGCTGGCATATTTCCAGCAGGGAAGACACTGCTGACTGCTCCAGCAGAGCCCTGCTCAGCAGGTCATCTGGCTGTGCAGCCTGCACACAGCCAGCCTGGCTTGGGAGATGCTCCAAAGTGGAGGAAATATGACCAGCGATGGCCAGGATCCCCACTCCACTGAGGCCAGGCGGATATTGGAGGCGGCAGGATCCTGCCCAGCATTGCTGTAGGATGGGGTTTGGGAGGGAGAGCAGCCTCCCACTGCTGTATAAACAGCAAGGCAATGGCTGGGGAAGCGTTTACAGCAAATGAATGTGGAATCAAAGCCCAGTCACATATTTTCAAAGCAGGAGGCATCGATCCCACGTTGGCTTTCCGTGGCGACGGCTCCGCCAGGTGACGGATGAAGATGTAATCCTGTGCTCTGATGGATGGTGGAGTGGCACAGAGACAATTTTTCACTGCACCATTACTGAACTCCTGCATCCTGACAGCCTGCCTGAGCACATCCAGGCTCAGAGTCTCCCTGAGACACACTCTCATGCAACCAGTTTATCTGATCTGATACAAGGCACAGCACACAGTGAAACCCCACAGCCAGGGCTCCAGTGGAGGCCAGATTAGAGACAACCCCAACAATCTCTCCAGCCTTAAAACTATTTGTTTAGCTACTAGAAATACCTGACTCTGTTGAGACACTGGGGCAAAGGGATTCAGAATTGCTGAGAATTAGTGTCCAAATCCCTCTGGGTCAATGCAAGCCAGCCAGCAAGCTGAAGATGACCAACAAGTGTTCTATCAAATACAGTTGAGAAAGGTTTTAGGAGCATCACTGCACATTTATGAGAGGCACATATACACATCCATTCCCCCCAAAATCCATGTGTTTGACTGAATAAAGCAAGGCCTTACTTTCTGGCAGACATCCATGTGTTTCTTGAGTCCCACAATAGTTTTCCTGGTTATAACACTGCAGGTTGGACAGGAAACTTCCCCCTTCTCGCTGATCTCCCGCTGCCACTGGTCCTCGGGGTTTGCTGGTGAGGGAGAGAAGAGAGGTGTTACATCCAACCTGCCTCGGCTGCTTGATTTGCTAAGTTGAAAAGCAGTGAAGTGGGAAGTTCCTGATATTAAAAAAAGAGATACACTCTCCCAGACAAAGCCAAAACTGGACATGAAACATGCAGCTCCCCCTGTCCCACTCTCCTGCAGCTGCCCAAATAAACTGGGTCACTGGGTCAATTTTATGTAGAGTTACCAGACCTGGTGACCTGGGGAAAGACCCAGGTCTTTTCCAACCACTCTGGTATCTTGCACGCTGGGAGTTATAAAAAGATGATGGTGCCCCCAGCCACCTGATCCTGCCCTGCTTGAAATAACTTCCCCCTGCCAAGTGAAACAATTAGCGGGAGTGAAACAAAGGTGAGCGTCTCAGCTCCATCCGGATGTGTGCCTGGAAAGCTTCCCTGGCAATCCTCTTCCCGACAGACACGGAGGAAGCTGGGGGACTGCTGGCTTCCAGGCATCTGTTTATTTGAATGGCTGTGACTGGTCTTAAAAACACCCAAAATAAGAGATATGTGGGGCCAAAAGCAGCTCCCAGGTCCAGAGTTCATGCCGTGTTCTCAGCAGAGCAGCGCTGGCCTTCCAGCAAGGGAAGCCTGGGCTGAATAAAATCTGCCAAGTCTGTTTATTTGGATGCTCTTGCATGGCTGTGAGATCAGAGAGTCGTTTATTTGAATTTGAAAGCAGTGCAAGGCACTGCAGCTGTGTTTATCTTGCACATCCTGCGTTCCTCCTGCTGTCAGAGCTCTCAGGGAAAGCAAGCAACCTGTGCTGGGTGTAGGCTGCACCTCAAGGCTCAGGGAAGGCGTAATTATGCCCAGAGTTATGCACTGCTGTCATTCATGGGAATGATGTTAGAAAAATGCCATCATCACATGGGTCACATGCTGACTCACAGTGAAGCCAGGTGGAACTTGGCTCTCAACTCCCAGCACTTTCATCACGTTGACCTGGCAGTGAACTGAGGGTAAGGCGCCCCTCAGGATGTCAGTTGTGGAGGCACCAATATTTTAGCAGCAGTGGCTGTTTCCACATCTGTGTTATATCTCAAAAGGTCAGGAGTTGTGTGCTCCTACCTCTGACTTTGTGCTGCTTCTCCTGACAAACCTGCCAGAAAATTCACCCAGCAAACAACCTGCTGGGGCAAGAGGGGTGTGGGGATGGAGGCATGAAGGTAGGGGCCATGCAGGCTTGGGTAGTGCACAGAAAAGGAGCTAAACTGCACACAGAGCTGCTGCCTGTGCTTTGCCCCCACCAGCCTCACCTGCTGGTGGATGCACAGGTGTTTCCTTCTTCACACCAGCTCCTGGAGGTTTCTTTTTCAGCTCCTCCATGTTGGCATTTCCCTCCAGCTTCTTGGCTCGATGAGCTTTTGCTTTGTCCTCTGCTTTGACAAGACCTGTAAAGAAAGAGGATTTTTATTCACTACTTGCTTTAATGCCTTCTGAGCAATTCACATTTAACAGGTAAAAAAATCTCTCCCTCTAAGCCAGGGACACTGAGCTGGCTGCGTGTCTGCCAAGGCTGTACATGTAGGCTCAGGTCCATAATTATGACAAGCAATATTCTAACAGCTTGTGGTGTTTCACAAACAGCATCATTTTCCCCAACACAAGTTTATGAACTATGGAAACTCCATGGCAAAGTGAGGTAGGATGCCTCCAGCCAGGCAGACAGGATGGGGTGAAGGGAATAAGGTGTTTTGCAAGAAACTGAAGGAGGGAATTGGAACAGCAAGTTCAGTTTGTAAAAGGGATGTTCCTGCACTGGAAATGCTGTTTAACTCCCCTGGATCCCCAAATCCATGCGTAGCTCAGCCCTGTGCCCGTGCTTCCACAGAAGGTGCTGGAGGTAATGAGGTGACTACCAGGTCAGATCCACATCCCCCTAAACCTGGGGGCTGTGACTCTTGCAAACCCAGGGTCTGAATGGAGACAGCACCCTGTGACGTGCTGGGGCAGTGACTGCCACATGGAGCTTGGGGAGCGTAGACAAACCCCTGCCCCATCTGCACCTTCCATCTGAGGCACTGGGTCATGGGGACACCTTGTTCTCCAGGAACCCACAGCAGATGGTTCAGTCTCCAGCAGCGCCTCTGTGGGGAAGATAAGGGAAACAAGCCCAGACTTCCCAGGAGCCAGAGGAAAGGAAATCACAGAGACCACATCCAGCCTGCTTGTCAGTGTTCAATTCCTTCAAAGCCATTAGTGCCTCTCCCCCGAGTGCCTCATCCTGGAAGGTGCTGCCTCCTGCAGTGCCTGGAAATCTGCTTCCTATTTCTCTGGCTGAACGTATCTCATAGTCAGCCTGAATCCAGTTGCTCTCATTCCAGGGATGCTCCAGGATTTCCCCCTCCTTCCCAAGCCCATTTGGGTGTATTTATGGAGCATGACCAAAGTCCCGCTTGCTCTTGCTTTGTCAGGCTGCAGCAGCCAATTCCTGGGCCTCCTCTCAGCAAACATCCCGGCAACATGTCTCCTCTCCCTTGGATTCATTCTCCCGAACGTGGGCGACCAGCCCAGGAGATGGAGGCTGAGGGATGGGTGCGTCACGAGCCTCTCTAGGCAGCAGAGTTCCTTCGGATGCCGCTGGAAGCGCTGCGGCACGCAGCATGGTGGGATGCTGATGAGAGGATGTTTCTCATATCTCACTGGTGTCAGCAGCTCCTTACTCTTGTGTTACAGATGAGCATACCCGGATCCTTTCCTCTGTCCCCTCGTTTCCCAGCGCCAGGCTCCAGAGCAGAGCGGACAGGGTTAATCAGTCCCAGCTCTGCTGCTGCTTTTCACTCTCTTTATGGCTCTCTCGTGGTAAAAGGTGCCAGCTCCTCCAGTGTGAGATCCTCGGGCTTTGTCTGACTCCACCACAGGGAGCCCTTCCCTTGGGGAAGGGACTTCCCTGCAATGCCCTGGGGAGAAGGTACAACCTACAGCTGCCCAGAGCTGTCCTGTATTACCTTTCAGTCCAAATGTCCCCGAGATGGATGGCTGCTCCCCCGTAAACTTCTTAGGAGTTTTCTGTTTCCTTCCTGACTCAAAAGAGAGAAACAGAGAGAGAGATTTGGTCAAATAACTGTACTGCCAGGGGGATTCATCAGTCCTGGGGCATGGGGTGGGCACACACTCCATGTTAGGAGTGGGTCAAAGGCTGTCAAATGAAGCACCCACCCACTAAACACCAACAGACTGCTGCTTCCCACTCCACAAAACCAGGATAAATCTGTTATTCAGGATTAATTCAATGAGTGAAAGTGGTGGCTCTGCCTAGTGCAAAAGCTAAGCAGCTCCCACATGTGGCTATGTGGCTGTGGTGGTTTGCTTTGGTGTTGCAAGCAGCGGAAACCATGATGGGGACAACCACTGTCCTACACCAGCTCAGCAGTGACCATGGACAGACAGAGACTCCTCATCCTGTCCCAATCCTTCAGGAAGATGAGTTAGCCAGAACCATTCTGGTTTAACCTCACACACTCAGAGAGGACAGACAGGCTGACACGGCAGCTTGCTATGCTGCCAGGAATTCAACACATTTCCAATCCTATCACAGGATTGTTAAGGTTGGAAAGATCTCTAAGATCATTGAATCCAACCATCACACAGGTCCTTTGGAAATACTTCCACCACGGCTACAACTGTGGAGTTTAAACTCCCACTGAAGCTGCAAGAAACTGGAGAGCAGAGCAAGTTATCAAGGTCTGGAAAAAAAGGCTTGGCCATCCCTTGGATTCAGAGACACTCTCAGCAGTGTTGGCTGCAGCAGATCCCCTTCCCATGGGACACCTTCTGAACCAGCGTAGCCCTGGGCTCTAATCTTACTGTGCTTCATCCTCTCGGGGTCTTCCTCCTGCAGGGAGGCCTGGCTGCCCCGCTGCTGCCCGACGTCCTTGCCACTGGAGGATTTGGCCGTGGGGGTGGCAGCTGCCATGGCCTCAGCTGCTGCAATCTGGAACTCCTTGCTCTCCCGGCTCTCCGCCAGGCACTCGCCGTTCTCCGCGTGCTCCTGGGCCACGGCTTTTTCCGTCTTTGCCTGTTTGGGATGGATGGTGGGGCAAGCTGAACTCTCAGCAGGTCTAGGGCAAAGCACAGAGGGCTTGTTTAAAGAGGGCTTGTTAGACAAGTGTCCTGACACCTCTCCCCCCTCGCCAGCCCAGGTTGTAGGAATGGAGGCAGGCATGTTCCCCTTCTCCCAACCATCCCTGTGCCACTGCCATGCAGCCCAGCCACAGCCTGGTACCTTTTCTTTCCACTGCTCTTCCCAATGGCCTTGGGCACTTTGTTTTCTGCTTTGCTGGTTGGCACTGGCCGGTCCAAGTGATTCCAGAGCCGATGCTTTTCCAGCTGGGTTTTGGAGGTGAAGGCAGCTTCGCAGTACGAGCATGAGTATGTCAGCTTCTCTGAGATTGCACCCTGAGTGAAGCAGGGAGAAGCAGGTGAGCACAGATGTTAGATCACAAAAGAGAGGCTTTTTCTGACACAGGCATGAACATAAATCATGTCTAACACCCTTCTGCCCTTCCAAACGATTACCCAAAGTCCATGATCCCCCTGGGCCAGACCTCACACTGAGCTGAGAGATCCCAGTCCCTCTCACACACACACCTCACAAACTGCTCCTGGCCCACCTCTGCCCTCCCCATTTCCTCATTTTAACCTCATGTTTTTCCTGGTGTTTAAGGCCTGAGAGCAGCTTTACCCTGCAGATGGTAATGGAAGAGCCAGCCACTGGAAAGGACAGACAGTTCTCCAGTTTCCTTACCCCTTGGCAGCGCTGATAGTGGTACTTCAAGCCATAAATGCTGGGGAACTCCAGCCAGCAGCCTGAATTGGGACATTTCACCCTCGAGTGGGCTTTGAATTCATCCTTCCACTGGTTCATCAGGGGAAGCTGGAACAGGAGAAAGAAGAGATAGCTGAGTGAAGAGCACCCTGTGCCTGGCTGTGTCTGATACATCCCAAGGGAGCTGGGAGAGCACATGGGAAATCTGATCATTCCCATCCATCCTTTCCACCTTCCACCACCAGTCATGAAGGGGACCCCAGGGGTGTGTTTCAGGGTATCAGTGCTCACTCCAGTGAGAGCTGCTGGGACAGATGCTGCAGACTCCACAGGCTAATGATTCCTGCTGAGGCTTTACCTTGCTGTGCTTCCCAGAGCACACACACATTCCCTACCAGGCTGGGGAATAAATCAGGCCTGAAGTCACCTGGCTGATTTAATCACCCCACATTTCATCTAGTCTGTAAATCACCCCATGTCCCTGCTCTCATGACAAACTACTCCATGTGTTGTCCATGCTACCAGGCAGGAATTAAACTGCACAGCTCTACAGGGAATAAATCACTCCCTTGCCATTGCTGCTGGCTCATTAGCCAAGCCTGACACGGCTGTGACAGGATCCAGTCATCTGGACATTGCCCTGGGAAAGCAAGGCTGGAAAGGGGTACAGTTCCTTAACCAGGGTTTTGGAAAGTAATGGATGCCTGCACATAGGGGTTGAGGGACCAAGATCTTGCTCAGCCCAAGACAAGGCTGCTCTGAAGATTAAACCACAGTGGAATAGGGCTGGCTGGAGTGCACAGTGCAGGGCACATCAGTCAGAGTGAAGCAGGGAGGGCTCAGGGACGGGAGTGTGTGAGGTCTTACAGGGATGTCTTTCAGCGCCTGGTTCTCAGCCTTGGGTCTTCCTTTCTTCCTGCCTTCAGTTTTGTCACTGGTTGCATTTCCTGCAAACAGACACAGCACAATCACCAGCTGTGCCAGAGGAGCCACTGTACCAGTAATTCTGCTGCCCAGCCCCAGCTCCCTGCTGCCTGCCTTGTGCCCTCAGCTCTAGGCTGGCCATTCTCTGTCCTAGCAAGGATAGAGATGCCCCTCTGGAAGGCAATGCCAGCTCCCCTGCAAATGAGGTGCTGATAAGACGTGACACAGGGAGAAACAGTCTCCTGAACACAGGCGTGTTCATATTGCAGACAGCTGGAGTTCATTCCCTTTAGCAATAACTTATCCTCCTCTGTTTGCAATTATGGCTTTAATCCCCTCAAGGTAACAGTGGCATCTGGGAAACATTTAGGGCACACGCATTTCCCCACAAAGCCACTGATTTTGGAAGCCCCATCTGAGCTGCATCGCTGGGGTCCAACCCTCTCCAGGGGTGCAGGCACCCCTCAGCATCCAGAGCTACCCTTACCAAGGTAAAGGCAGCAGGACCCTCTCTCATACAGGGGATCTGCCCAGCATAAAGAGACAGGAGGAAAAATCTCCTTGGGCCTGGAGATTCCTGGATAGAGAAATCAGCCATCCATCAGCGTGACAGCCCTTAGTGTGAGGGTCCCCTGGGGCTTGTACGCCAGCAAGCCTCCATCCCGGGGGCCGCAACATGGGAGGCAGCAGATGGCCTGAACTCATTTAAGCCTTTCCATCCTTTGATGTAACACTTAGCTACCAACACGATAAATGGGCGGCGAGACACCCATCTCGTTAAGCCAGACACACGCCTCTCCGAAGGGAGAGACCATCTCCATCCCTCCCCTCCTGCTCCCAGCACCGAGCTCTCAGAGCTGGGGCTTTTTGGCCAGCACAGCCCTCACTGCTGAGTCAAAGTGAGGAGCAGACACATTGAGACCCAGGTCACTTGTTTTGGCAGCCACCCCCCAACTCCTGCCTCTGGGCTCATCCTCTCTGCCCCATCCACCTCCACTGAAAGGACAAATCAGCTCCTTACCCAGCTTGGGCAGCTCTGCCGGTGGGTTTATCCTTGTCTCCGTCCTGCTTTCTTTGCTGGCAGTGGGTTTGTTAGAGCCTGCAGTTTTCCTTCCACCTTTACAGGTATAGGAATCCGCCATCTCTGAAAGAAGCAGGGGAGGCGTTAAAATTCACTCCTCGGAGCTGGGAACAACACATGGTGAAAGCAAGGAGAGCTGCTGGGGAGGGAGGGAAATGAGAAAACCATCACGCAGCTTCAAGATTCCCACAAAGAGAAGAAACGGGACGTGCTTCCGAGTATTTGTTCTACAGTTGAGGAACGCCACAGACATGGCTGGAAAGCTGCTTTCATTACAGCCTGGCTTCCCCTTCACATACAATGGCAAAGACTTTATTAAAAATTATGGGCTGACTTTGCCCAGAGAAGTAGTGAATAAATGGCTTTTCCTCTTCGTTTATTTCTCCGCTTTCATTTAAGACACCAAAAGCAAAAAAAAAAAAAAGTGAGTTTTAATGAACAGATGTAATGATAAATTTCCAATTTTCCTTATTAATGGGAAACTGTTATAAACTGAGAATTGTTAATGCTATCTGAATTTTCCGTATTAATAATTCAATTTGGCTTCTCTATAAATAATGAACGTCAGGAATTATCGCACAAGGCCCACTCTCACTCCTGATGGAAGTGGGCACTAGGACACCCCTCCATTCAGCAGTGCCAAGAGGAAGCCCACGGCATGACTGGCTCTGCCTCCGGCTTCAAGTTCCTTCTTCCCCTCCCGACAGCACAAGCAAAGGCACATCTGAGGATGGGGGCTGCTCTGGGAGATGCCATATATGGATTTGGGGAAAAGAAGTCCTCCATGCCTCCATAATGAGAGCATCAGGCCCTTGGGAAGAGATTCCTTGGACCACCATGACTTTGAGACCTTGGCTGGGACGGGATGCTGATGTTCACCCATGCGTTTTTTAAAACACGGATTTGACTCATCACCTGCAATTCCTCCCACATGTTTAGCATCATTCTACTTGAAGGAGCTGATTCCCAAGAGCATCCACACTCATCCTGTCTGTCCTCATGCCCAGAGGATGGAGGAGCATCTCCTGTGTGGCCTGATTGCCAGCCATGCCACCAACATGCAGGACACGAGGGTCCAGCAGTTCTTTCTGAGGTGTCCCCAGGGACTTTCTGTGTAGGATCTGGGACTTTCCATGTGGGATGCAGCCCACATGCTCCAAGAGCTGGCAAAAGCTTCCAGCATGTGCTTGGCTGGTGACACATATGTGGTTGTTTGCATGGGCACAAAGGTTAATCGGATCAAGTGAGAAATTCCAGCTTGGCAACTGGTTCTGTGGCATTTGGTGCTGAACATGGGGATCGCTGATTCAACTAATTTGGGCTCTTTTGGTGGGAGAGCTGGGTAGGAGTTTGTAGTCTGCCTGACAGCAGCTCCTTTCTGGAGCAGGCACGGAGAGGGGACCCTGTGGTTCCTTCCCAAATTGCTGCTCCACTCCCATCAGTGTGGGCACTGCTACTGTCCCCGGTCCTCCACAGACAAATGTGGCAGTCCCCTTTCTTCCCATTCTGCTGTCTGGTACCTCTGAGCAACCCTCACTCAAGCTGCTCAAAGGAAAAAGGGGAAAAAGCAGACTCACCAAAAACCAGTGAAGTGAAAGCCAAAGATTTCTGTGCTTACAATGGTGTGAAAACCAAGGGGAAACCCACACAACCGACACCTCTATCCAGCCAGGGCTAGTGCCAAAATGCCATGGGGGATGGAGCACAGAACCTCCTTGCCTGCCTCGCTGGCCAGCTCGAGGTGACACGCAAAGAGTGACAGCCAGGACAGACCCTGTTGACATCTCTGGTGCTCTCCTCCTGCACCTCATGACACTGCACACCACTGAGCCTCCTCCCAACTCTCCCTTCCCAAAACATCCAAAGTGCCCAGCTCAGCCCTGCTCCAGCAGCTGGACACCTCTCACCGCCCTGAACACATCTGTCCCTCAAAGGAATCCTCTCTGCCCAGCTTGAGAGGTTCTGAATCTTCTGTTTTTCCACACCAAATACTCCTTTGCATTTTTCTCATTATATTTTAACCAAATGAAAAATAAAAATCTCATAAACCTGTCAGCAAGAGCCAAAATCTGCTCCCTGGCCACTGAAACAACCCCAGGGATCACAGAGGAATTGTCCAGGAGACACAGAGCAAAAATCAGCCCATTGTGGGGTTTTTTGGTAACGTTCAAATTTCTCACTCATGTTTGAGTAAAACGCAGTGAAAATAGGCAGTGTGTGCTCTTCCATGCTTTCCTTAAGGTTTTGTTGAAAACTCTTTTGCAACTGGTAATGGGAAGAGAAGGCATCCACAGGTTCCAGCCATGAGCCAGGGACGGGATGCGGTGTGGGAAGGCTGGGCCAAGCATCTTATGAGGTCTCCAGCTCTTTCCAGGTAACTTTTTAGAACTTTGTGGCAACATTTTTGAAACATCTCACTCCAGCTCCAGGAAAAAAAAGCTCCTGTGAACGCAAGCACCAAAATGTGATGAGTGAAGGCTAAACTGGTATTGCTGGGAGCAAGGGTAAGGAGGAAACCCATGGCTGTGGGAAGGGGAAAGTGACATTTGGGAACAAAAGGCACTGTTCCCAAGCCACTGGCAGCCCTATGCAGCTGGAAATTTGGCATAGAATGGGAAAGGGGAAATAATTCTATGCAGAAATTCCTGCTCATTAATTTGGATAAGGCCTGAAGGAGCATGTACATAGCCAGGGATGGCTGCGACCCTCTCACAACATCCTTATGGTTACCAGTGGAAAGTCACCTGCAGACCATGACCCCAGGCTCTCCTGCCAGGATTCCCACCTCAGTCACATCCCTACGGATGGGCTTTGCTGCATGACAACTGCCTGGTCACCTGTCAATCTGCTCTACCTATCATCAATAATCTACCAACAGCTCTAGAAGTACGGAACACCAAAAGCCAAGGGAGCTGCCTGTCCCAGGACAAGCCATGTGCCAGCACAGATGATGGATGCCAAAGGGCACTGCCATCCCTGTCGCTGTCGGAGGAGCTGTGCTCCCTCCCATGAACTCCTGGCAGAACCAGAGATGCTGGGAAAAACTTGCAGGGAATAAAGACAAGGCAGCGGAGGGAGAGGCTTCCTGTCGAAGAATCGCCCTCGCTGGAGGTTTCCCCGGGAGGGAAGCACGTGGCGGATGAAGCCCTGCGAGCCGCTGCCTCGCTGGGCACGGCAGACAGCCGGGCAGCCCCGGAGGGACACGGCACATCCCGCCGCGATCACCCAAACCGAGTGACACCCATCGAGGCTCTCCAGGAGGGAGAACCTCACCCGAGGCACGCACACCCCGCTCCTGCCGCACATGGCTCTGGCCAGGCGCAGACGAGGCTTTTGAGGGTGTAAAGTTTCTGTTCGAGGCGCGTTATCCCGTCCCTCCCCTCTCCGTCCCCGGGCACTGACACGAAGGGAAAAGCGCCCGCACATGCCTGGCAGACAATGAGTCCGCACCGAGCCGCGGGGACCGGGGTGCCCCCTGTCCCGGGGGTCAGCGGCTGCGGGGAGCTCTGCCCGCTGCCGCTGTCACCTCCTGGGCGCGGGGAGCTCTGCCCTGCCCGCTGCCGCTGTCACCTCCCGAGCAGGGGGACCTCTGTGCTGTCACCTCCCGGCCCGGCCGTGCCGCCCGCGTCCCCTCGCTGCCCCTCCCCGCTGTCACCCCGCGGGCAGCGCCGCCCGGGCCTGTCACCCCGCGGGCCCGCGCCCCATCCCCGGGAGGCGGCCGGGGCTTCCCCGCGGGCCGGGCCCGGCAGGGAGGGGACGGAGGGCCCGGCCCGGCCCGGCCGCGCTCCGGGAGGGGAAGAGCGAGCGGCAAAATGGCGACGCGGCGGCGGGCGGAGCGGAGCGGAGCGGGGCGCGGGGGTCCCCGCCGCGGGGCCGGGCGGGCCGGGGGCCGCTCGGTGCTTACCTCGGCGGGCCGGGCCGCGGTGCGGGGCGCGCAGGGCCGGCACCCCCCGGCCGGCCAGGCGGTGCCGCCCGCCGCCCCCGGGCCGCCGTGCGGGGCTCCCGGCGCGCCCACACCCGCGGCGGCGCCGCGCTCCGCTGCCGCGCTCCCGCCCGCCCCTCGCAGCCGCCGCCGCCGCCGCCGCCGCCGCCGCGGCTCATGCGCGCTCCCCGCCCCGCCCGGCCCGGCCCGGCCCGCCCCGCGCCCCTCACCGCCGCCACCGGGCCGCTCCGGCCTCGCCTGGTTCCGGGACCGGCACCGGGATCGGCACCGGGAGGACGGGCGGGGGCGCCGCCCCGGGAGGGCGGGACGGGGCAGCGCCCCCCGCACCGGGCTGACCTGGGCAGGTGCGGCCGGAGCCCGGTGCGGGCAGGGCTGCGCTGCGCTGCCTCCGCGGGATGCGGGCAGGGTGCCGAGCTGCCCTCCGCACCTCCAGGCTGTTTGGCCTCTGTCACACCCCGGGGTGCGGGCAGCGTGTCCTGCCCGCCGTCCTGCCCTCAGGGTGCAGGCGCTGAGTGTCCTGCCTGTCATCTTCCCCTCCTTCCTGCCTTCCAGGTCGTAGGCAAGACGCCTTTCCCTTTGCCCTATTCTCCAAGGTGCAGACAGGATGACCTGCCTGTCATTCTGCCCGGCAAGGTGCCCTGCCCGTTATCCTTTCCTGCCCATCATCCTACCTCCCAAGGTGTTGGCAGTGTCCTGTATGTCACTGTTTTCTCCAGGATGTCCTGTTCATCATCCTGCCTGCAAAGGTGCGGGTAGGATGCCCTCCCCATCCATCAATACATCTAAACCCAGGGTGCTCCAGGTCCCCTTGTAAAGCCACCCCAGTCTCCGGGAATGATGCTGAGCGTGAGCCTGTTGCAATGCCCATGGGACACTTTCCCAGCTCCCGGGCTTGGGATGTCACCTCGGCAAACCCGGTGGCACCTGGGGAGGGGCTGCAGGACACAGCCAGCCTTGGTTACCGGCTGCAGGAATGCACAGCCACACCAGGACCCAGCAGTAGCCAAGAAATTAGGGAAAACCACATAAATTTTGCCAGGTGAGAGCAGAACCCAGAGCAACCATCGCTGTCAGGGCCATCCTGCTGCCATTACCAGTGCGTGATCCTGCGGTGCTGC